CCTGTGTGTCAGCCTAAACAAAGGATATGTACATATCATCTTTTTGGTGCTCTAAGGAAAATGTATTGGTGAAATTGTTACTCTGTCCATTTCTAAGTTAGAGGAATGGGGAAGTAGATTATACACTTCAATGGATAAACATTTTATGATTGGTGAAGCATGGCTCATAGATCAAACTCTAGATTTTCTTTACTCTAAATTTAGTGCTGTTCTCGTATGCCTTACCTCCCTGTCACTTCTCATGAATAGAGAAGTTTCCTTCTCCCAAGGCTTTGCAGAACTAACGGATGGAATAATTTCCAGTCCATATCAAATAAAGGAATTACATATGCTGCTGAGATCAAACCTTTTACTTTCTCATCATTTTATCTTCTTGGACTAGCCTTGAAAACAAGCAAAATATTAGAGAAATGAAATTCAGCTCACATATTTCCTTGCTTCCCCTGTCTCTTGTTTTATTATCCTTTTTTAAAAAAAAAACATATACTTGAGAGACAGTATGGCAGTAATTCGTATGTCATGACAAGCAGTACGTATTGAGAAGACCAGATTGACAAGCATTCCAAGCATGACGCTACTATTACACCTTGCTATCTTCAGTGCAGTTGCCTAGTTCACAGGTATCAGCATATAGAGTGAGTCAGGGTGAGAAGCCCACCAACCAACTGCCAGTTTTGAAAACCTGCTAAAGATTCTCAGGATCATTGCCTTACTCATCTTCTACATATAAATGTATGGCTTTGCCACTGTCATGTTGCCCAGCCTTTTACCTTGCCCTCTCTTCATTTTCCAATCCTCAATTCTTGCTTTCCTTTTAATTATATTATACCTTTCTATTTTTATTTCTTCTTTTGAGTTCTTATACTGGGTAGACTATAAGAAATTTACATATGTGGGTCTGGTTTATTTCACTTATGAGTGTATCTACACTTGAAGACATATTTTCTTTAAAACATGGTCTCTTCATGAAGTTCAGGCTAGTGATCTTCAACTCACTGCATAACCCAGGATGGTCTCAAATTCGTGGTGATCCTCCTTCCTCAGCCTTCCTGGTGCTGAGATTTTAGATGTATGGCACCACACGCAGCCAATTTTCATAAAATGTACATAGAATCTGGCTAAGTTATAATGGATCTGTCCCAACTTTATTAAGTATCATTATGGTGAAGATAGCATTGTTCAGAATGTTAATCACAGCAAGCATCCTGTACAGATAAGCAAATTTTTGAAGCCCTTCTACTCATATTAATTCTCCCTTCTGCAGCCAATTCAGAAGTTCTTCCTGCCTTTGAGAAGCCCCAGGGCAACATATGTCAGGTAAACTCCTCTGCTGCCCTCTGAACAGGGAAGCCAAGTGATAAAAGGTAAGAAACCATGAGATCGTGCTAGAAATGTCTGCTTCTTCACTCACTGTCAATTTGGTTCAGTCAAGCATAAAGTGATGGTGCCTTTTTACTACAGCAGCTTTGTCAGGTTTCCTAAATTGGAGAATTGCCTTGAGCTGCAGCTGTTATAGACATTCTGGACTCATTTATAAGTGACAGAGTATCTAACTGAAATTTTCATGTTATAATTAGACATAATTATAACAAAAAAATCAGGTTTAGATCTTACAAAGTCCTGATACCATGTGTATGTAGGGGAGTTTTGTGGTTTTGGGGCTTGGGGTGGGAGGGTACCAGGGATCAAACTCAGGAGCTTGCACTTGCCAAACAGGCACTTATGCTTCTGAGCTATCTCCCTGGCCATTGGGTTATATATTTTGTGTGTTATATTTTTAATGAAAGTAAATATTTAAAAATGAATAGCAGTTAAAAATGAAGTAGTTCAGCTCACTTTCCCTATAAAGAAAAGAAACTTTGCAAGGATTAAAAATGGAAAAGATCTATTTGAACCACCTAGAATTGTCATCCTCTCACATTTCTGCATACAAAGCATTTGGACGGTAACTATTTTAGCAGCCAGAGAAAAAACCATCTGGGCTGGACTATGCTCTTTCATCATAGCATTCACCTCCACACTGCCTGCTTGCATGCAATTCCACTCTAGCCTGCACCAACACTTGAGCAGCCTTAATCATTCCATGTGTTTTAGATTTTGCTTCCTCAAATTTCATAACACAGAGGTTTTTTTTAACTTTAAATGACGTAGTTGGTGTACATCCATGTATGTGATCTCTCTGCAAGTAATCATTTTCTCATCAATCATTTATGAGTTTCCTCTTATCTTCCTCAAACTCTTTGGTAAAACTGATTCCAACTGAGTGAAACTGACAGACAAGGAAGAAAAGACACTGATTCCTGGAGGCACTTTACTATCTCAGAGACTGCAAAACATCAGTGTCATTGCTCACATATCATGAAGGATGACATTTACTCCCTTGTTATGCACATGTATGGATGTATGGGGTGGGTGTGGACACAGAGGCAAATTTCAATGTCTTTGGAAATTCCTGATGGTAAGTTGGCTGTAAATTGTTTCAGAAGATCTCTTCTAGTTCTGCTGCTCAAGCTAATTCCAGCTGCTCACCGCTAGCAGTCTCAGTGCCTCTTATCGCAGCTCCTGCAGGAGCTTGTTCCGTAGTCACACAGATGCTTTGTGTGCTCTTTCCTATGAATGTAGAAGGGAGGAGGAAACAATTGATGCACAGTGAGCCCAATATTGCCTCCCACTTTTTTTCTATAGACAGAAATTTAATTTTTTTATATTTTGTGTACATCTGCTTGACAATGTATTACTTTTTCATTAATAGTCTCAATGTATCCAACAGCTATGTCCAATAATATTAAAGATACAAGAATCAATAATTTAGCAAGTTGTGATAGCATACACCCAGCTGTTTGTGAGACTGAGGCAAAGGATCATGAGATAAACTCCACCCAGGTAACATAATGTTTGCATCTTCACATCCACAACAAAAAACTGATTAATAAATTATATTTGTGAATTCTGCATTGAGGACTAGATTTATGAATATAAACTAGACATCTTGGCCTATGGCTGTAGTTCAAGTTATAGGAAAAGCTGACATAAGGGTATCCCAAGATTGAAGGCACCCTGAGCAACACACAGTAAGAATCAGCCTCAAAAAAAAAAAAAAAAATCAACATTTGAAAAATTTTTGTCCTGAACTTTGTATTGAATTACACAAGGACAATCATCTATTTATTTTTTTGTTCATCTATTTCTGGATATGTCTCCTATCTATGTATGTCTTGCTAGACTCACTGATAATTTATTAATATTCCAATGAAATTTTTTACAGAGATTTATGAGTAGTGCTGCTTACTACCATTCTCTTCTAACCAATGTGAGTTTTGGAATTTCAGTCTGTATTTTTATTAGTTTTATGGCTGTATACATATTATCTTAGGGCCAGGGACTCAGCTCAATAGCATAAGTGCCTGCCTGGCTAGCACAATGTCCTGAGATCCGCCTCTGAAAATACAAAGAAAAACAAAACAAACAAATAAAAACCACTCATCCAAAAAGAAGCATTTTTCATTTGAATATTTTATTTATGTTAATAAGGAAAAAAGACAAAATAACAATGAAACAGTCAGGTTAGTAGACAGCTACAATAATTAATACATTTTAATTTTTTTTAAATTGAATAATGCAGTATATAAAACTGAAGTTTCAGGGGACTCAATAAAGTTTTATTAGAAAATAGTCATATGCATTCATTTAAGTATTGCCTATGGATGCTTTTGTACAAGATCAGAGATTCAATTTGACAGAGATTACAGGGCCTACAAGTCTAAACCACTTACTAAAAAGTTATGCTGGAGAACCGCTGGTGCAAAGCATTACAATGTTCAGATTCCTTTCTATCACATGCCGACTGGTACCTGTGGTCCTGAGTAAGTACACCATCAGCGGTTGCAGAGGAGCTCCAGGGATGGCATGAGGGTACGTACACTGCTACCCCTACTTGGCTGGTCAGAATAATCGGAAGCCTTATTTTATACCTGCAGAGTATTAGACTGTGTGAAACCCTTCATATAACTCAGGGGAGGGTTGTGAGTATGTGTGCCCTTGATCAATAAAACAGCCTGTGATGCTGTAGATGTTAATGTGTGTGAAATCAAAAAGCACTGTTTGGAAGTTCCAACTTGCTCTGGCTATGTTGAGAGGCTGAGTAAATCTGTACGCAAAGGAAGATACACTGAGCTACCCTTTTAAAAGTTACTCTGTTTGTAACCTAGCAGGCCATAGATGGGCAATATATGCTGTCACATTGATCTGCCATGACTTCAATTCTATGAAAAGGGAAGAAATCCTGTTTTCTGAGAAAAAAAAGGTACAAAATCTGGAAGAAGCATATTCCAAAGAAATTTGAGAGTTTTATTCTACTTTCATTAAATACAGTGTAGATGAGATCTTATGGATATAGACCAATAGTTTTGTTAAACCCATAGTAAAAATACAAATATAAGCAAAGAATCAGCTCAGGTGTATATATGCATATAAAGTATATTACATATATGCCCACCCACAGGATCATGTGATAAAAGGTTGGTATTTCAGAAGTGGCTCCATCTAGATTGTGTGATGCTAGGAATAAAGATAATCATGATGCTGGGATTGATTCATAGTGCTATAATACAACCAAGGGTATCCCACCTGGGTGTGGTAGCCTGCTTCGAACATAGGAGATAGAAAGAGGGCTGCTGTTGTGCTTGGTTGCTGCTTGCCACTTTCACTTTTTTCTGTCTAGCATGAACAGCACTGAATTTCCCTTCTGCCGTGCCACCTTGTATTGCAACCAGAACATTAAGGGCTGAAAATTCTACTAACTATAAATCACACTAAAATTTTGGGTTTTTTGTTTTGGATTTCAGGCATTTTGGCTGAGTAATAGGGAAATTATATATACTATTTATATATTATATTATACATATATTATTGCTATCCATGTATTTTTTCTCAAGATTTAAATATAAATCCATATATCACCTCATTTATTGTACCATCCAACAATTGCTTATATGTTTACAGCTCACAGACACATGGCAAAATTCCACACCCCCAGCAACTCCAGCACCATCACTGGCTTCATCCTCTTGGGCTTTACCTGCCCCAGGGAGGGGCAGATCCTCCTCTTTGTGCTCTTCTCTGCTGTCTACCTCCTCACCCTCATGGGCAATGCTTCCATCATCTGTGCTGTGCGCTGGGATCAGAGACTACACACACCCATGTACATCCTGCTGGCCAACTTCTCCTTCCTGGAGATCTGGTATGTCACCTCCACAGTCCCCAACATGTTGGCCAACTTCCTTTCTGACACCAAGGTCATCTCCTTCTCTGGCTGCTTCCTCCAGTTCTATTTCTTCTTTTCCTTGGGTTCCACAGAATGCTTCTTCCTGGCAGTTATGGCATTTGATCGCTACCTTGCCATCTGCAGGCCTCTGTACTACCCTTCCATTATGACTCGACATTTCTGCACCAATCTCATAGTTAGCTGCTGGGTGCTTGGTTTCCTCTGGTTCCCAGTCCCCATCATCATCATTTCACAGATGTCCTTCTGTGGCCCCAGGATAATTGATCATTTCCTGTGTGACCCAGGCCCTTTGTTAGCCCTCACTTGCACAAAAGCTCCTGTGATAGAGCTTGTTATATCCATCTTAAATTCCCCTACACTGGTTATTCTCTTACTTTTCATCATGGGGTCTTATGCTCTGGTCCTAAAAGCTGTACTGAAGGTCCCTTCAGCAACTGGGAAAAGAAAGGCTTTTAACACCTGTGGGTCTCACCTGGTTGTGGTTTCACTATTTTATGGCTCAGTATTAGTCATGTATGGGAGCTCAACATCGGATCACGCAGCTGAGGTGCAGAAGATTGTGACCCTCTTTTATTCTGTTTTGACCCCTCTCCTTAACCCTGTGATATACAGTCTTAGGAACCAAGATATGAAAAAAGGCCTGCAGAAATTTTGGGGAACATAAAAAGCATTAACCAAAAGGCCATTAGACAATAAAACATATTTTTTGCCTCTCTGAACCTCTGAATTTATTTTTTAAAGAGTACAAAATGGTATTAAAACAGAAAAATTACAAGTCATACAGAATATCTCTTAACAAAATATTATGAATTTCACAGTGTGCTGTAATGCATAGGGTTGTTTCCATATAAGTTGTTCATATTAGCAGATACATGCATGCAAAATTAGAGGAAAAAAGAAATGTGTAAGAAATTAAGAGATAATGGACAACTGAAAAAAAGAGACAAAACAAATTAAGCATTAACTGCTCCTTTCCATAGACCAGAAGTCCTCAGTAAAGTTGTCCAACCCATCCTTACATTCATAGATATATCTCTTTTCCCACTTCCACTCCTGTCCTTCTTGGCTCAGTAACTTCTTCCTTTTGAACAGGTTCATTCTCTTTTCCCTGAAGCTATTGTACCCTTCAGATTTTATTTTCTCTTTCAGGTCTTGAGTTTAAATTAGGAGATTTAAAAATGTTAAGATTAGTGGTCCAATTCAACCCAGCTATTTCCCGCCTGGGTATTTTCCCAAAAGAACTGAAAACATTGCATCACACATATATATGTGCACCCATGTTTACAGCAGTGCAATTTGACATAGCTAGATATTGGAAACACATCATCTGAGCAATAAAATGTGGTATTTTTACACAATGGAGTATTATTCAGTTATAAAACAAGTTAGATTTGAGGCCTTTATCCGTAAATGAATGCAATTAGAGACCATACTCCTTAAGTGAAATAAATCAGACCCACATGTGTGAACCTCGTATTGTCTCCTTCAAATAAAATATATTTTAAAAATTTGTTTTATCCATAAAAGTCATCATCAAATTAAAACAAAAATCAAATGCCTACAAAGTTATTTCTGTTATTTTTTCGCAAGCTTCCTGACCATCTATTCTGTTGCTTAGCATACTTTAATTTTTAAGTTGAAAGCTTGATATTATCTTAGAAAGTAGTAAAGATAACAGATGCAGATACTCAAAAGAAGTTTAACTTTCTTCTATCCAGTAGCTAGAGTGGAGCACATTACTTTGATTTCATATAAAATTTCACTTATACATTTTAAAATATTCTGTGCTTGTTTGGATCTTCATCCTTGGTGTAGTACTTACACTAGAAATGTAACTTTATGAAAAGTGAGCTATACCCTGAATTCAAAGTCATAACTATGCAAATCGCTACCTGGTGCAGTCGGATGAGTATTTCATCTACATTTTATAGTTCTTGCTAGAAGTTACTTTTTGTCTAATACATGCTACTTAGTCATGACCATTACCAGAATGACTTGCATTCTGTGTCAAAATGCCATACATTGGCACTACTTCTCTCTCTCGCTTAGAGACGGTCTTGCAGCCTAAGTGAATGCAAGCCCACAAACCAGAGACATCTAGCCCTTGGAGCTGACAGAAACATGAGTCTGTGATGTGGACCTGCTTTTCATTTCACTGTAACCAGTTCCAAATCCCTGAGGACTCTTCTTTTGCAGAAACAGAAAGGTTACCTACAGAGCCAAAGAATAGATTTGGGATTTTTTTTTGTTTTTAGTGTTTTGTGTTTTTTTTTAATGAGAACAACCCAGATCAATAAAAAATATTTATATGAATTCCACAGGAAACTTGAGCTAGGTTTTCCCTCAACTTCCTCCTAGACTTGAGTAAAAGACCATCCTTTTTTTTACAGTGAACTTACCATTCAACATAAATACTTAAGTTGCAAAAGGATCTATTTACTAAGGACAACAATTTTCATGAAAAAAAATACGTATCTAGCAAATTTTCAAAAGCCTAAGTAGCTTCCCTTAAGTAACTGATGTTAAAGTTTTATCTTCAAAATTTCTCACTTTTTTGTTAGTTACCTCTCAGTTAAACTTGCTTTATTAAAATAAATAGCACTTGACAGTAAGAGAACAACACTCTATCCCAATAGAAAAAATAAATAAAAAGATACAAATTAACCACATTCTGAAATGGTTCTTAAACATGTGGAAAGAGCATTAACTCATCGATAAAAATGTCAAGGAAAAATAACCTAAAATCATATACTATTTGTATGCAGCAGAATTATAAAAATCAAAATGTTTGATAACATATTGTGTGGCTGGACATGGTGGTGTCGTTTCCCTCACACCTGGCTGCAAGCAGTACAACTTTTAAGCTCTATATAAGTTCACTAGGCCTCTTCTATCATAAGCTAAAGTGATATGGCCTTAATCCAGCACTTAGCTTTCTAAGTATGTAGGCTATAAGTATTTTCACATACACAAAAAAATGATGAAGAGACAAGAATAGTCTTATTGGCAATTCTACAATAGCACCTATTGATAAAAACATCACTTCTCAGTTATGGAAGAGAAATAAGGTCTGGTAAGATATCCACTAGATTACCATAGCTACAATTTTAAAATTAAAGCAGTCCTATTTGTATTCTCTCCAAGGCATATTAACTGAATAAAGCAACATGATTAGCAGAGTGCATGACAGCTACTATTTACATAAATGTTCATGATATCCAAGGAGAAGATCCAAGGTATTGATAATGGCATTATGTTAGGCAAAGAAATTGGTGTTTAAAGCACAAGAGAAGAGTAATTATTTTAAAATGAAGAAAATCTGTCAGGGGGATGAGCTTTCTGATTACTAGATGTAGGCAATAATTGTCTCTCAGTGGTTCTATGTTTCCATTTTTCTCTCTTCATTGAGAGAAAAATGGAAACAGGGTCCTAAGAGCTACTTAGTGCCACTTCACTCCCAACTCTTTAGTATCTTAGAAGAAAGATGAGGAATGTCTTCCTCATCTTAGGGCTCTACCACTGTAGTAGGTGTATCATATTTATACTTTGATATCATCTCTGCCACTTTTGTATTGCTTATTTTTATTTTTGGTAAAACACTTTTTTTCCTACAGAGTTCATAGAATTCTGGTAAAGATAGAAAATAAAATTGCAAGTGTTCTTTCATTAAATAGCATGATTACAATGAAAATCCCAAATACATGTAGCTATTGAAATTCAATACCATACTGAAAAGGTTATACAGTATAACTGTTTAGAATTTATTTTTATTATGCAAAGATGGTTCAATATATGAAAATTTCAAATGTTGCATAACATTAACAGAATAAAGAAAAATCACATGACTGTCTCAGTTAAGACAAAGCAGACTCTTGACAAAATTCAGCCTTTTCATAAGAAAGCTACTCAAGTAAGACTGGAAATAAACCATCTTAACGTAGGAGAGCTCATATATGAAAACCCACCGTATATATCACACTCAATGATTTTTTTTTAATCCTGAAAGCTTTTCTTCTCAAATTAGGAAGAAGAAAATTACACCAATTTTACCAATATTTTTCTTACCCAGATTTTTTAAAAAGAGAGTAAAAATAGTTTTAAAACATTAAAAGCAATACAGAATTTTATTAAACAGGATGATAAGAATTCAACCATGTTTTTTGTAATGTATATTGTTGTCTTCAAATTAATTGTTCAGTTACCAGATATAAGCATGCAAATTGGTCAAAACAAAATGAAAAAGAAAACAAATAATTTAAGTATTAACTGCTCATTTTAGACCAGTAGAGATCAGCAGTACAATTATTCAAGCCATCCTGTGTTCTCATCCCAGAAAGAATAGCTATCATCAAGAAGTCAGCAAATAGCAAATGCAGGAGGGGATGTGGACAAAAAGGAACCTATTTTCACTGTGGGTGGGAGTGTACACTGGTACAATCATTATGGGAAATCAGGGTATTTTTCCAGAAGAACTAAAAACATCATTGCACAGCAATATATGTGCACCCATGTTTAAAGCAGTACAATTTGTCATACCTAAATCTTGGAAATAACCCAAATGTCCAAGGAATGGATTAAAAAGATGTGGCATGTCTACACAATAGCATATTACTCAGCTATAAAAATGGTAGACTTAAGGCTTTTATAGGTAAATGGATGCAAATAGAGACCATACTCCTAAGTGAAATAAATCAGACCTGCTTGTATAAACATTGCATTTTCTCCCTAGTGTAGGAACCCAAAAGAGTAAGTAAAATCTAAAAGGTAAAATGGATACCGTGCAACCAAAGGAAACTGCTCATCTGAAGGAACAACTGGGATAAAGGAAGGAGAAAAGAAAAGAAAGAGAAGGAAAAATGTATTTATTTGTATGCTCAATTTTTATTCTTAGCGCCTGTTTACATAACATGATTCCATTCTTTGCGGAGAGTTGGTCCATGTACATTGCATACTTTCTTCGATTATCCTCCTGCCCTCCTTTCTCTGCCTGCTCCCTAAATATCTTAAACTCCTAGCTGTTTGGGCAAAATCTATCTCCCTACTTCCTATTATCTTTTACTTCATTCTTTGTTTGTATTCAGTTTCTCACATAAGAGAAACTATGCAAAATTAAAGCTTGCATCTCATTTATTTTATTTAACACTATAGCCTCTACTCATTGTTGAAGCCTTATAGGAAACCACCAGGAAGGAAAAAATAATAATAGAGAACATCTAAAATGAAAAAGGAAATTATATCTTTTCCTAGATGATATGTTATTTGTATAGAATCCTAAGGATTACAAAAATATCTCCAAAAAGTTGTTAGGAATAATGAATTAATTCAATCAAGTTATATAGATCAAAATTAACACACACAAACTACTTGCATGTTACACAAAATATGAGAAGCACATGAGATAATGCACATAAATTAATTACCTTGATTTAGCCGCTCCACAATATATATATCTCTCAGAACAACATATTGTATATGACAAATACATACAATTTTCATTTTTTCCTGTTTTTCATTTTAATTTATTTTAAAGAGAGTATAATAATTGATAAGAAATTAGAAACCCTAAACATTCAGAAGACCAGGATGAGAGGCATTCAACCATGGATTTTGTATTGCACACTGTTGTCCTTGTTGAATTTTGTCATCTAAAATAAACAAATTTTA